AATATCTCCCTTATTATAAAGTTTTGAAAAGAAATATTTTATGGGAGTGATGTACTTAAAAAAGTTCACATTTTAAAAATATTTTGAATTATACAGGGTGACGTATTAGGGCGGAGCATCTTTAAGGTGGTTTTTCTTAAATGGAACACTGTATATTTTTACAAATTTGTATTCTACAGAAAATTCTCTTTCCAGCGATGTATATGTATTTTGTATTCGATGCGACGATACCAAGTTATTTGAAAAAATAAGATAATCTTCTCTGGAACAGAGTTCTGTAAATCTATCCACTATGTAGATACTACCAGTAATTAAGAAAAAATATTTTATAGGCATGCGGACCAAAGATGTGGACAAACAACAAAACAGCAAAATCTTTATAATTTTGTACAGGGTGTTCTACACATAAGCCCCAGTTTAGCGAATTTCGAAGGACATTTTCTCGATTTTTTTAAGTGAAACACTCTGTTCCATTTAAGAAAAACAACCTTAAAGATTCTCCGCCCTAATGCGTCACCCTGTGTAATTCAAAATAATTTTAAAATGTGAACTTTTTTAAGTACATCACTCCCATAAAATATTTTTTTTTCAAATCTTTATAATAAGGGCGATATTGAACTTTGTCACACTATTGGGCCGCCCTATAGGTACCTGATATTTTGAATTAATTAAAACAACATTCTNAATTTTAAAATGTGAACTTTTTTAAGTACATCACTCCCATAAAATATTTTTTTTTCAAATCTTTATAATAAGGGCGATATTGAACTTTGTCACACTATTGGGCCGCCCTATAGGTACCTGATATTTTGAATTAATTAAAACAACGTTGTTACAAACTTCAATTCTAACGTATTGTTTGCCATTTCAATTAAATCTTGTTTCTAATTATTTCATATTTATTTTATGTTACTAGTTCTTGATTTTAATGATTGCTAGAATAAATTTTATTGAAGAAAGTTTATTTTGCAATTAGACGGTACAATTTTCTACACATTTATAAAAAATACTAATATTATATTATATCACTTAATTTAACCGTTAAACAGAAACATTTACAAGGTTTTAACTATACACAAAATATAAAACAATATCTATGTTTTTTGTATAATCGAATTGACTGTTTAAATTAAAATTAATCTAATCTATTACTAAAAGGATATTTTCAAAATGGTTCTGTTTCAGAAATAGTGAACTGATTTGATACATTACAAATACCTGCTAACCTAAAAAATTAACCTACATTAATTTATGTTAAATCTACGGCCTCTCACTCCTGTAGTTAGAATTTTGAGGAAACCTGTTCCTGTCCACTTCAGAATAGATTCTTCCTTCAGGATTCTTCTTCACTTCCCTAACATTGACATCAGTCGACACCTTAACAGGATACTGAGGCTTCCTGTTATCACTCTCATCGTAGCTTGATTTGGTATAAGGCTTCCTCATTTGGTATGACGATTCTGGTGAGAAGTATCTGTTTTCGTATCTGTCTCTTTGGTCGTATCTGTCTCGTAAATTGCCGTTTGGTGGGGTTCTTGATATTTCTGGTAAAGTGGCGTAGTAGACTATTCTCCTTTGCCTGCCTTTGCTTCCATTGTAGTTATTGTGACTGTTGTAGTTGTTGTAGTTGTAGTTATCGTATGGTTTCTCAGCGTAGTCTCTGTATCTGGATCGAGTAGAGTAGTCATCGTAGGGTTCCCTTGAGTCGTAGTTGTAGTAGCGATCATTCCTGCAACATTATATGTATGTCAAGAAAGGTAGGTAGGCAGGGCGACGGGAAACTATAAGCAAAAAATTAGGAGTAGATTCTACTCAAAAATAATAGATAATAATAAAAAGAATTATAAAAGGATCACCTTAAATTTTTTTGAATTTTATTGAAAACATAACACCAGCATAAACTTTCTTGGAAGAAATTGCTTGAGCGCATACAAATCCATGTAGATCAAAGCTAGCCTTCAAATAAGGTTCTTTCCACTTCATTTTAAAAACCATTTGCATAGAAATGCCTCACTGAAATACAAGTGAGTTATGTACCACAAACGGACAGTAGAACAATAATCAACTAACAGCATTACGTGCTCTGCAGCGAAATAGAATATTAAAAATCCATGAAAAAACAGTAATGGGTCCTAACTCTTTATTCGTGAATGAAAAAGATTTGCATGAACAAAGACGATGTCGAAAAAAATTGCATACACATTTTGTTGCCGTTGCTTTAAAAAAGCAATCCATGTTTGTCAATGATTAGCACGACAATTGGAATATCTACAATCATATTTCAATTGACCATAATAGAAGAAAACCAACTGTTAGATAACTACTACTACCAAGCTTGTTTCATCGATAACATCAGACAAAACTATTACTCTTGTGCTATGCTCCAACGCCTACCACTAGTTTGCATCACAAAAGGAAAAAATAAAGAATAAGGATTGCTTGCTATCTGGAGGCTTTATCGAGTCCAGTAGGGAAACGGAAAATGCTGATGTCATTAGTCGATGACAGCGATGTTAACAGTAGTGGAGAGATATCATAAAATATGAATGCTGGATTGCAAAAACTAGTTCTATGTTACAACGAGCATGAAAACATTTGCAACCTATGTGGAAAGGCACATACTTTAAAAAAAATAATAAATATGTACGAGACAGCTTTTTTTCAAACTCTCTTTGAAGGAGAACAGAAGATTGTTAATTTAGTTTTATAGGTGTGCGTCTCCATTAATATTACTTCAGGATGAGATAAAGGCTATTTGTATTTGGAGTGACGAAAACAAGCTGACTTTCAATTTAAGAAGATGTTCCAATGTCTTTTACTAACAATCCTTGTTGAATAATTGTAGGTTCTTATTTCATGCATAATACTAAATTAGAAACAGTCACTTTCATAACAGATATTGGTATAGTGATTAATACATCTATCAACTTCAAAGACATAATCAGGCCGAGTGTGTATCCCATTTTATCATAATAACAGTTATGTTGTTTCAGGGTTAAACGTTAAGGTTAACGTTAACTATTAAGATATGTTATTGAGGAATTAAGACCATTTTTAGCAAATACTCGTATTGCTATTTTGTTGTTTTTTGAAGACGCTTTTGTGTGGACATTTTTAATAATAATTATGCAAAATTATTATAAACAAGAGCCGGTATTAGACAAAAACACATATAACTGACAGAAAAAAACAAATGTTTCACATTAGATTCCGTGTTTGGAGGCTGCTACTCTTATTTTTTATTTCAGAAAAACTATATTTTTATATATAAAAAAATCATATTTGTTAAAAAAAATAAAAAATATGATTTATGTAAACAAATTGACAAAATAAAGTTCTCTTTTTAGGGGGTGAACAACCCTCTAGTGTGCTAAAAATGTCTGTACGATTAGAATTAACATTGCAAAATAAAAAGTTTTTACTTTTTCTCTAATCATACGAATAATTTGTTCTATTAGCCGCAAACAGATTTAAACGGATGCAAA